GGAGAGGAGAGGGGGAGAGGAGGAGAGGAGGAGAGGAGCAGAGGAGAGGAGAGGAGAGGAGAGGAGAGGAGAGGAGAGGAGAGGAGAGGAGGAGGCGGAGAGGAGAGGAGAGGAGGAGGCGGAGAGGAGAGGAGAGGAAGCGGACAGGAGAGGAGAGGAGAGGCGAGGCGAGGCGAGGAGAGGAGAGGAGGAGAGAGGAGAGGAGAGGAGAGGAGAGGGGGAGAGGAGAGGAGAGGAGAGGAGAGGAGAGGAGAGGGTAGGGAAGGGTTGGTAGGGTAGGGTAGGAGAGGAGAGGAGAGGAGAGGAGAGGAAGCGGAGAGGAGAGGAGAGGAGAGGAGAGGAGACGAGAGGAGACGAGACGAGACGAGACGAGAGGAGAGGAGGAAGCGGAGAGGAGAGAGGAGAAAGCGGAGACGAGGGGAGAGGAGAGGAAGCAGAGAGGAGAGGAGAGGAGAGGAGAGGAGAGAGGGCGCCTGCGCCTTGTTGGAGGCGGCCGAGGTGCGCCGTGCGGAGAGAGCGGCGTCGCTGGCCTGCTTTTCCAGCCAGGCCGCCGCGCGCGCCGCGCGCTCCGCCTCGAGCTCCGCCTAAAAAAAGAAAACGCGGCTGCGCAAGACGGAAGACACACATGCGCGCGCGTCCCCGCCTCGAGCTCCGCCTAAAAAAAGAAACGCGGCATGGGACGAGAAGAGAAGCACGGCGGGGCGCGCTCTCCGCCTCGAGCGGCGCCTCGCTCTTGCCGCGAAAGCAGTCGGCTCGGCGAGGGCGCGACGAGCGGCTCGGCGAGGTCGGCTCCTAGAAGGGTCCGAGCCGGTTCCGAGAAGGTTCCGAGAAGGGGCGCGACGTGCGGCGAGGGGAATTTCTCCGTCGCGACCACCGCTAGCGAGAGGACGACGATCGCGAGCGGGATGGCGGAGGGGAGGAGGAGCAGCCGCGGCAGGGAGGAAACGTGGCCGCCCGCCGCGACCGCAGCACCGGACACTGCGACGGCGATGGCGATGCCGATGGCGGCGGCGGCGGAGGAGGAGGAGGGGGTGGCGGAGTTGGTGGTGGTGGTGGCGGCGGTTGTGCTCGCCGCGCGGTCCGTCTTGAGAATGGCGCGGCAGACCGCCGGTTCCTATGGGGGAAGGTTCAAGCAGGTTCCGAGAAGGTTCCGAGAAGGGGAGCGCGGCTGTCCGGCCGGTCCTTGACGTGCCGCCCCTCGGTAAAGTACAGGACGTGTCCGGTCGAGCGGTCTGCGGGCAGCGGCGGCGGCGGTGATCAGCGGCGAGGGGCGGCGCGGCGGGAGGCAGCGGCGGAGAGAGGGACAGAGGCAGCGCAGAGGGCGGCTGACCAGTGACCCGCGTGGCGCTTAGCGCGTGCACAAAGGCAATACCGTCCTTGCAGTAGTTGGCCAGCATTGCACGGGCGCCGCCGCGCGCGCGGACCTCCTCCGCAAACAGCTTCGCTTTTCCCTGGTCCGTCAGCGGCCCCTGCAGCATCCGGGGGCTCTTGCCGAGCGCCTCCGCCGGAGTGTAGCCGCACATCGCCACCCACTTTGCGTTGCAAGCCAGGATTTTGTTGTGCTCGTCGACCACGACAGCGGCGGAGGTACACTCGTGCATCAGCAGGTCGAGTGCCCGCGGCGGGCTGCCCAGCTCGGCAGAGAGGGACCAGTCATCCATTCTTGAGAGCGCTCCTGCGGAGGGCGTGGCGCGGGTTGGCGGGTGAGCCGGTGGAGCGCTCGGCCCGGGCAGGTGGAGGTGATGGCGGCGGCGGCGGCGGCGGCTGGTGGAGGTGTCGGCGAGGCAGAGGGGGGGCTTGGGCGGTAGGGAGGAGGAACCAGAGTTTGATGAGTGAATTTGGTTGATTTAGTGAGTTCGTCACGCGCGAAAAAAGAATTTACTTTGCGCAAGTGCGCGCCTCTCTCTCTCTCTCTAGAGTTGCGCCGAGAGGCGAAAGAAGCCGCGAGAACAAGGGACCGGCAGGCGGCGGCGTCGCAGGACGAGGCAGAAGAGAACGACGCGACAGAGGGGGAAGTGACAAGGGAGAGAACGACGAGAGTGGGACAGCCGCGAGGTGGAATGAAGGTTGCAGCGAGAAGCGGCGAGAGACTGCGAAAAGAGATACGAGGAGGCAGACTCCCCAGGGTGGGCGACGGCTAGCGCATCACACCCTCCTCTCCTTAAAATCCCTGTGTGGTGGCGGCGTGCCGTTCTCCCATCCCTCCCTTGGGTTGTGTGTTTTCTTTCTTTCTTTTTCTCTCTCTCTTAGGGATCCACAAGTTTCATCGCGGTGAGCCGTTGTTTTTTATTTTAGATGCCCGAACCTCCGTTTTAGGTATATTGTCTCCGTTTCGGTTATCCTGTGCGTGTGTCCGCTTACGCTAATGTGGGCGTCATGACTCATGTCACTTAGGTAGGTGCAACGGTGGTGTCACGCCAGGGCGCCTTTAGTAGTTGACCAGCTCGCCGCATGTGCAAGATGGTCCTTGGTTGACGCCGACTCCGCCGAACGACCGTCTGACTCCAACCCTTGTTGCATGTACCAAATCCCGGCCTGTGTTGCTTTCTCCCGATCCACGCACCCAGCCTCCCAGACAGACTCATGCGCGTAGACATGGTTGAGATCGGACTTCGTCTCAAAGTGCTGCATGCGGCGGAAGTTCGACGCAGTGAGAAGAGTTCTCACTGCCTCGATCTTATCGGGAAACCGCTTGTCCGCCTCCACTACGACAAACTTGAAGGCACGTGCAGCGTCCACGGTGCTCAACACCTTCAGCTCCGCGCCCTGCACGTCCAGCGAGAGAACATCGACGGACGGCAGCCCAGCCGCTGCCATGAGGGACGAGAGCGGCTGGCACGGGACGCTCACCATCGTGGTTTTCTTCTTGAAGCGCGCATCCTCCTTCGCCAGGGTGTCCAGCTCAGTATCCACCCAGTATGCTCGACCCTCGACGACCTCCAGGGCTCCCTCTTCTCTGCGCACCGCGCCCCTGGCCGCTGAGCTCTGGGCCTCTGGCACGCCGTCTGCCCCAATCCTTTTGTACACTTGCCCCACACTTGCCCACTTGTCCCGCCCCTCCCCACGCCCTCGCGCATGCCGTTGGGATTACGCAAGGCAAATCGAGTCCGGACTGCGCGCCTGCATCTCGAGGAGCGCCTGGTGGTACCCGAAGGACCACAGCAGCGGCCCGAGCGGGTCGCCCTGCTGGCAACCCTCGCGCGACGCATAGACCTCGCCCGCGCTGTCGCACGCCTCCACCTTACCGTGCCCGCCGAGCAGCCAGAGGCGCGGGTCGACCGCCTCGGCGTCGTCGCCGTCGATCGACTGGTAGTAGAAGCGCGCCACCGGGATGAGCGAGGGGAAGAAGGTGCGAAGGCCGCGGAAGATGGCGCCGCGCGTGATCGAGTTGAAGCCGTTGACCTTATCGTCGGAGAAGATGGCGCCCTCGGGATGGCGCTGCACGAAGACGCGGCAGATAGCGATGAGGATCTCCGCGCCGCCCGGCGTCCCGCGAAGTTTTTTACCCCCACGGATACATAGTCCGTGGGAGTGCCCCCCACCCCCACCTGCCCTGCTTACACAGGATAGCATTGCCCCGAGAACGGCGACATTTGGCGGGGGGAACCAGGAAGGAGGTTCGGTTTAGTCTTTCTTTTGTCCTCTTGGGGAATGTTCTCTCGGCGCCCATGGCTTTCCGAGGTTTCGTACTGATGCCGTCCTTCTTGGCACTTCGGGCGTCGGTTGTGCGTATCTGTTGTGTCTAATTCCCGCGGTAATGTGCTACGGGTATGGGTCGCCGGTTGGACCTTGGACGCTACCGCTAGAGGCTAGACCATCATCTACTCTGCTTACTTCGGCCGTTGACCCCTCGATGGTCGAGTGGCTTCCGGATCGAATCGGCAGGTTGACCCTTATATTTTTTCTACATCGAGCGGGCTCAATTTTGCTCTGATGCCTCCTACGTTTTCGAACTCGAGTTCTCGGGCAGGCGCCCGGTGGCGGGGTGCGTCGGTCGTTTTTGATTTTCTTCCGTTCAAGTGAAAACATTCGGGGTGGAACGAAAAAAGCGAAAAGGCGGCGGATTCGTGTGTATATGCGTTGTGCGTCGACGGTGGCTACGGATCGGTTTTGAACTTTTGAACGACGCCTTTTGATCTAAAAGCTAGCATGCCCTCGCTCCTCCGCGCGCCGAGTACACCGAGACTCGCCGGCCGCCCGCCACTCCCCCCTCCTCCCGCATGCTCAGCAACCAGCAGCTGCGCCAGCACACGACCATGCGATGACGGCGGCGAAGACGGCCGAGCCGGCTCAGTCGACGGCCTTGAAGGCCTGGATGAGCTCGGCGACAAAGTCCGCCGTGACGGGGTAGGACTCGGCGCCGAGCCGGTTCTGGAAAAAGTAGAGCATCGAGTTTTTGACGGGTCGCCAGTAGCGCTCGCCGTGGCCGGTGCGCTGGTGCTGCAGCCCCATCAGGTAGGCGTGCTCGCTCACCTTTGCTACCTCGTGGTGGCGCAAGAAGGGCTTTGCGCACGCAAACGCGCGCGCCAGGCTGCTGCTCATGTCCATCTCGGGGACGACCACCACGAAACAGAGCGGCTCGTCGCTCGCGCCCAGCAGCGCGCCCACGTGACGGAAGCAGGCCTAAGGGGAGGGGAGGTGCACTTCTCCACGCACACGAGGGTGGTGGGGCAAGGGGCCAGGCTAGCCCTCGCGACTCCACGTCTAGGCAGGCAGGAGCCACACGGCATTCAAAGTGCAAGGCCCGGTGCGCGTGGGTGAGGGGTGTGTGTGTGTGCGTGTGTGTGTGTGTGTGTGTGTATGTGTGTGTGTGTGTGTGTGTGTGTGTGTGTGTGTGCGTGCGTGCGTGCGTGCGTGCGTGCGTGCGTGCGTGTGTGTGCAGGCCTGCACGCTTGACGTGTCGAAGGGCGGGTTCGCCTCGTAGCAGCCGCTGACGGGTCGGAAGGCGTAGAAGGAGCCGCTCGAGCCGAACCACTTGTCGGTGTCGTCAAAGACGGAGCCGAAGGTGGCGAGGCACCTAGGGCAGGGCGGGGGGCGAGAGAAGGTGGGAGACGGCGGGAGCAGGTGAGCGACGGCGGGAGGAGGCGGGGAGGGCACCGGTTGAGGGGCGAGGCGTAGCACTCGTGCGTGACGCCCCACCGCTCCTTCAGCAGCCTCATCATCGGGCGGGGGAGCGCCGCCTGGAAGGCCGACTTGTCCGCCGCGAGGGCCGAGTAGCGCGACACGAGCGCGAAGAGGCGGCAGTGCAGCAGCCTCATGTCGTGCCCGAAGCCCTCGTACGCGCCCCGCAGCTATTCACACCTCCAGCTGTGAACAGGCGGGGCTCCGGCTCGGGCGGTACGTGTGCTCTGTGAACGGCGTCTATTCACACCTGGGAGTAGTGGCCGCTCCACAGCTCCACCTGCAGCTCGTCGTCGACGTACCTGCTCAGCAGTGTCGTCCTCCTTCTGAGTGGCCACGTCTCAACTCGCAGCTCCACATCTCGACGTACCTAATCAGCGACGGAGGGAGTCACTCACCCAGTACCGAGGGATGAGCTCGCAGCACCGACGCACCGCTGCTGCGCGCTCGGCCCCACCTCGTGCGGCTCGTGCGGCCGCCACGCGATCCGCACCGTCTCCCCCTCCCCCGGCTTGCGCCCCCCCGCCCGCGGCCGACCGCTGACCGACAAGCCGAGAGACGTGTCGTTCAGCTCCCGCCCGTTGCGCAGCCGCTGCTCCCACCGCTGCATCGCCGTCGCGCGCGAGAGCTGCAGCTCCTCCGCCGCCCTCCGGCACTCGACGACGATGCTGGCCGCCTAGTCCCATACCTCCATGCGATCGAACCCGGCGTGGGTTCGGTCCCGCGGGTGGTGCGGTATGGCCGCCGCGTCGAGCGCCGCGCGCTCGCTCAGCGTGTACAGCGCCTTCAGCTGCGTCGCGAGCCACTGCTGCGTGTTGCGGTCGACGCTGCTCGGCAACACCTCGTCCACCTGCGGCTCGGGCGCGGTGCGCGCGGAGCGGCAATCGTCCACCAGCGACTCCGGCGTGCGCGAGATGAAGATGAACTTGTTGAGCACGTCCGACGCGTCCTTGCGCTGCTTGAAGCCGAGCTGCCGGAAGCTCGCCTCGCCGCCGCCCGTCGCCTGGCGGTGGACGTGCAGGACGAGCGCCTCGACGCGCCGCCTGCGCTCGACGGCCGTGGCGGGCAGCTCGACGCCGCGCAGCTGCTCGAGGTGCGACGACATGAAGAGGGACGAGACGGCGGGCGTGAGGCCGCCGCCGCGCAGCAGCTGCAGCGGCGCCTCGGGCGGCGCTGCGAAGTTGGCGTCCGGGACGAACGACCACTCCTCCTCCTGCGCGTGCGCCTCGGCACGCGGCAGCCTGCGCAGCTCGTACCGCCACACCCACTCGCGCAGCCACGCGCGCATCGCCTCTTGGTGCTGCGGGTCGCGGTACGCCGCCACCGCCCCCGACAAGCTCGCGTTCGACACGAGCACCGCGCGGTTGTCGATCGCCCACCGAACCACCGGCGGCAGCGCGCCCTCCGCCGCGCCGTCCGCCGCCCCCTCGGGAGCCCACTCGGCCATCGACGCCTCGATCAGCGTGGCGAGCTCGTCACGCGCCGCCGCGAGGGCCGCCGACTCGCCTCGCACGCGGTCGATCGCGCGCGGCGTCCGCCACACCGGCGGCAGCAGGCAGACGACGCTCGAGCCCGGGAAGCGGTTCATGTAGTACTCGAGCGCCGTCATCACCGGCACCTGCGCGGTGTCGGCAGAGCCGTCTCGGAAGTGTCTCGGAAGTGTCTCGGGAGTGTCATCACCACCACCGGAGCGGCGATGCACGGCGAGGCGGGCGGCGGTGGTGACGGCGCGGAGGGAGGCGGGGGCGGCGGCGGAAGAGGAGAAGGGGCGGCCGAGGCGATGAGGTAGGGAATGGCGGAGGCGGTGGCGCGGGGGAAGGGGGAGGCGGGCAGCGCGGAGGGTGCGGAGGAAGCGGTGGCGGCGGATAGGGGCTGCTGCAGCACACCACCGCCAAGTAGCCGCCGTCGCGCGGCTTGCCGGTGGCGGCGAGATTGGCGGCGTCGATGGCGATGAGAGGCATCGGCTTCTCGCCCCACTCCACCTCCTCCTCCGCCGCCTCGCCGGCCGCCGCAGCGAGCGGCAGAGGCGGCGGCACGGAGGGCGGCGGCGCCGACGGCGCAAGGGCGGAGGGCGCAAGGGCGGGAGGCGGAATTGGCGGAGGGGCGGGGGGCGGAGGGGCGGGGGGCGGAGGGGCGGCGGGGCGGCTCCAGCTCGTTTCTAGCGTGGCCGTGTGGTAGTAGTACATCCGCCCGCCGGCCGCCTGCACCTCCCTCCACCCCTCGGGCAGCGGCGCGGGCGACGGGTGCGGCGAGGCGGACGGCGGTGCGGCGGTGCCTGTGGGAGAGATGAGGGAGATCTGAGGGGGATCTGAGGGAGATCGCGGGAGATCGCGGGAGATCGCTGGGAGGCCGCGGGAGATTGCGGGAGATTGCGGGAGATCGGTGCCGAGCTGGACGATCGACTCGAGCATCGACGCCATCTCGTCGGGCGCGGCGGCGGGCAGACCGCTCGCAGCTGTCAGCTGCGCCTCCTCGCACCCCGCCGCCGCGGGGCGCAGCTCTTGGGCACGCATCTCGTCCAAGCCGGGCCGGCGGAAGTGGCCGGCGGCCGCCGCCGCTGCGGCCGCGTCATCATCACCGTCAGGGAGCGCCACCGCAAGCCCGTCGGTGGCGGTGGCGGCGGAGGCGGAGCCGGCTGCTCCGTCCCCGCCCCTCTGCCTGCGCCCACCCGGGCGGTCCTCGCACGCGATCGGCCGCTCCTCGAACGCTGCGGCGGACGACCCAAAGTCAAACGGCACCAGCTCCCTCTCAGCGGCGCCGCGCGCCGCGCGGGCGCGCGCGCGGCGCGCGGCGCCGACTGCGCGAGCCGCCGCCGCCGCCGCCGCCGCCGCCACCGCCGCCGCCGCTGCCGCCGCCGCCACCGCCCGCTCGGCCGCTGATGCCCATCTCGGCCATCGAGGCTCGGAGCGCCGCCTGCAGCATCTGCTCCTCCGGCGCCACCTTCGCCGCAGCCGCAACGCCGCCCACGCCGCTCTTGCCGCGCCCGCCGCCCTTGCCGCCCTTGCCGCCGCCGCTGCCACCGGCGGCGCGCGGCACGGCGGAGGCCGCTGCCGGGGCGGCGGCGAGAGAGGAGGAGGAGGAGGAGGTGGCGGTGGTGGTGGCGGAGGAGGTGGCGGAGGAGGTGGCGGAGGAGGTGGCGGAGGCGGAGGAGGAGGAGGAGGCGGAGGAGGAGGACTGCGAGATTTGGTCCGCCTCTCGAGCCGACCGTCCTCTGGCACGGAGCGCGCGCAGCAGCGTGTCGACCAGCTCAGCGCTCATTGCGCCCTGCGTGTAGCGCGCGCCGTCGGGCGGCGTCCAGACGCGGATGTCACCCGTGCGGAGCACGCGCAGCTGCGCCGGGTAGGGCGACCTGCTCACGGCTGCAGGTGTGAAGAGACGCCATTCACAGCTCGTCGCCACTGCCGCCGGAGAGAGGCTTGTCCCTCCGGCCTTCTTCGATGCGGTGGCCTTGCTGGGACCGCCCGTCGCCTTGCCGCACCAAGCCTCGGGCACCTGGTTGAGGGCGGCGGGCTGGGCGGCGTAGAAGACGCCGTACCTGTTCACAGCGTGAGGTGTGAAGAGACGCCGTTCACAGCTGTAGCCGGGCGGCGTGACGACGCCGTACAGTAGCCGCCGCGAGAAGTGGAAGAGAAAGAGCGGCGTGGTCGGCGTCACGCGCTCGAGGATCCTCATGTCGCCGGGGCCGCTGCCGAGCAGCGACCGCTGCATGCACTCGCTGAAGGTCCTGCCCGAGCAGAAGAAGAGGAAGCCGGGCAGAGGCGGACGCTGCGGCTTCTGCGGCTGCGGCTGCTGCAGTGCCGCCTGTGGCTGCGGCGGCCGCCGCTGCGGCGGCGCGGCGGCGGCCGGGTTCCTCTTTGCGGGTCGACGCGACGGAGACCACGCCTCCTCCTCGGCGCAGCTCGGCGTCTCTGGCGCGTCCGGCGCGGCGAGCGGCGGCGGGGCGGGTGCGGAGGCGTCCTGCAGGATGCACTCTGCCATAGCGATAAAGTTGTGGTCTCCGATCTCTCCGTCGGCGAGGAGCTTCTCGAGCGATCTCGCGGCGGCGTCGCCAGCCGCCGCCGCAGCACGGACCCGGCTGTGCACGTTCGAGCTGCGCATTGGCAGGCCGGCGGGGTGATGTCGAGGGGGGCCGGGTGGGTCCGACCCCCCCCAGAGGCTTCACCACGTGCTGGGGGGGGGGTCCCGACCCCCCCAGAGGCTTCACCACATGCTAGGGGGGGGTGCGGCGTGAGTAGAAGCACGCCACCCTCCCTGGAAGCGATGTCCGCCTGCTCCTGCACTCAAGTGGGCTTCGACCGGCCTCGCTCGGCTGGGGGGGCGGGTTGTCCCTGGTTCTGCAGTTCCCTGGGCGTGACTCAGCACCCCAAAACTGCCCCTCGGCGGCATACAGCACTGCCAGCCAGCCTCTTCCTCCTCCTCAAGGGCTGTACTATGGCCATATTGCGCCGCCTCCTACTGGCAGCCGGGCGGGCGCGCGCCGCGCGCGCCTCGGCGCGCGCACGGCTCGCAAAGTTCGAGCGAGTACTGCCGCCTGGCCGCCTCAAGGCTGCCGGGCGGCAGTACTCGACTCGCAAGGCGCGCACCGGCTGCTCTGGCTGCTGCACCGGCGGCCGCTGCGCTGGCCGCTGGCCCGCTGTTGCGCTGGCCGGCGAGCGGTACGACCGCCGGCAGCCGCTGCACCCGCGCCTTCCCTCGCGGGCGCCGTCGCGCCGCGCGCGCCCAACTCTGCTGGCACACGGCACGCGTCGTCACTCAGCCGCGGAGAACAGGCGGTGCAGCGCGCGAACACGCGAAGCGCGCGCGATCTCGTCTTACTACTTTCAAGGCTGGATCCGGCCATTCCAAGGGTATACCTTTGAGAATCCCCAGCGTCCCTCCCTCCTAGTCACAATCTCAATATCTCGACTCTCCAACACGAAGTGCTGCAATGGAGCTTGCCCCATTTCTTTTTTTCATTTCTTTTTTGGCCGCCCTGTGGGGGCACCCTACTCCCCCTAGAGGGGCCTAGAGACAAGTGAGAGCGCAGCGCGCGCCGAAGAAATATTTTTGAGAAAATGCTAAAAGCTAGGCGACGCTCCGAGACGACCAACGTGGTAAAAGTCGCACACTCTCCTGACCCGATCAAAAGCGTAAGAGCACCCGAGGCTCCAGAAACCTAACTCTCAGATGCTCTCCACCTTACCTTACCTTACCTCCCCGCTCAGTGAAAAGAAATCCAACGCGCGGTGCGCACTCACACTAGACGCAGGTCGCAGTGGCCGCCGCTCTCCGCTAGTCAGACCGGCGCCATGAGCGCTCTGATCGCCGCGTCGCCAAAGTCCGGGTGAAGCCGCGTCGAGCCGATGCCGGCGTAAACACCCTCCGGCCGCGGCGGCGGTCCGTCGAGCGGCGCCCACGCCTGACTCGCCGGGTCCCACGCACTCCATCGCCGGTGGGTTCGCGCGTCCTTGAGGCATCCCGCCCACTCCGGAGCGCCGTCGTCGTACAAGTAGAGGCGGCAGGAGGCGGCGGCCTCCGGCCCGAGCGGCTGGAAGCGGTTGATGTAGCACTGGCACGCGTAGCCCGTCCCGCCTCCGACGTCACACGCGGCCGTCTGTGAGTCGCTAGCGGAGGGCGCGCGGTAAGCGACGGCGTACACAGCGTCAGCGCAGAGGACCTGCAGCACGTTGCGCCGCGACTTCCTCCAGTCGCGGTCAAAGGCCGCGAGGGAGGCGTAGTTCGGGTAGCGCGCGCGCCGGATCGCATCCACCACCTCGTCGACAAGCTCCGAGTGCAGAATGCCGTCGTCGAGGTGGCACAGCGCCTCCTGTTGACCCGCGCGTGCGGCTGCGCTGGGCACGTTGTGCGGACCCAGCAGGTGCGCGACCAGGTGGCCACAGCCGAGCGCAAGTGCGCCGAACAGCGTGTCCGCGCCGTCGCTCGCACCCGACAGCATAACGCTGCGACCCTCGGCGAGAGCGTTGACTGCGCTGCGCCCGGTGAGGATGGCGGTAGGCAGCTCCGCCAGGAGTTCCCCGCTCATGCTGTGTGTACCGGTAGGACCGACTCCAACACTCGGCGCTGCCTTTAAAAAAACGCGGCGGCCGCCACAGCGAGCACCCACCCGCAGCCCGGGGGCCACGCGGCCGGGCACCAGGCCTTCGATGGCGGCCTCGCCCGCCATCGACCTGGGAGAGCCGCTCGCGGCTCTGTTCAAGCGCGCGCGCGTCGCCGACAGCCTCTAGCGCAGGTATGAGGGGCGGCTCGCGGAGCTGGGCATTGGCGATGCTGGCGACCTCCTCGAGGAGGTCGCTGGCCGCGTTGGGTAGCGAGGATTGGTATGAAAAAAATATGACGCGATCCACGCAGGCGTGTTTCCTGACGGACACCTTTCACCTACCCACAACTCATCAACTCTCTCACACCACACTACGGCGCTACTTCAGTTCGACCCCGCCCGTGCCCCCGAGTTCGTTTTTATATCGGCCCGGCCTATTCTTTCTCTCGAGGTCTCGAAAAGCAGTGCCCGCCGAAGGCGACGGAGACGATGGCAAGCGCGGCAGCGCGCTGCGCCGAGGCCACGCATGGAGCGGTCTCGGCGTCGGGCTTTCTCCTCGAGATCGCTGGCCGGCTGCGAAAGAGTGCGCCAGCCGCTGCCGCAGCGCTGCATCCAGACACGACAGCCACGCAGTTCCGCTCCTTTTTGCAGCAGACGGGCTGGTCCGCAGCGCACTCGGGCTACTCCTACAACCTGCTCAAGCTTGTCTGGGACGGCAACGCCTTCCGAGCCGACTCCTCGGACTCACTAGAGGAGCTTGAGGTCCAAAATGCTTCCCACAGCGATCGCAGGCGCCGCAGCCAAGTCTTTGTAAATTTCTTCACCCACGTTCTCGGGCTGAAGCGCAACGCCTCGATGTTCGATCGTCCGTTTGCCTTCTTCCTCGAGCTGTCTGACGCCTCGACATGCCCGCACCCCGATTTGTACCGACATCTCGGCCTTCCCATCCTCACCTCGTCGAGAGGACCGCACGATCACTGGACCATGCTGGTGCCAGATGTGCACATGCTCATCGGTCACGGCTTTGCAGAGGGTGGGCTGCCAACGAAATTCACACGAGAGCTGTGGCGCGTCTATCAACATCGCCTGCGCCCAAATCGTGACACAAAAAGTTGGGCAAGTAAGCTTCCCCACCTGGTGTATCGAGGTGCCTGCTCGCCCACTGTCGAGCCCACGATTATGCGAGCGCGTGCGCCTCGCGCGCGCGTCGCCTTGGCCGGCTGCCAACGCATGTTGCTCAGAGGCAAGGTCTGCCAGGAACTCGTCTCGGAGGGCGCTCTCTCCGCTGGCAACGAGACGCTCGTCAACGAGACGCACATTGATTTTGGCATCTTGCTGCCAAGCGGCTCAGTCCCCTCTTGGCAGGCTTCCTGTGAGCCTTGCCGCAGGAGCGCCGTGTCGAAAGAAGGCCAGCATGACTACAAGATGATTCTGAACGTCGACGGCTTTGGCATGGCGTCAGACGCCTCCTTCTGGAAACTGTCGAGCGGGAGCGCGGTCGTCTGGCTCATGCGTGACGGTATCGACGAGCCCGTCCACACCGAATGGTACTCGCCGCTGCTACAACCCTATGAGCACTACATCCCAGCCACGTCTCGCGACATCACGCGCAAGGTGCGCTGGTGCTTGGAGAACGACGATCGATGCGAGGCGATAGCGCTGCGTTCCAAAGAGCTGATGCGCTCCGTTATCACTCGCCGGACGATGGTGGAGTACACGTCCGCCATTTTGAAGACGGTGCACGACCTGTTTCCTCAAGCGTCGTGATATCTTGTCGTGTCCGCGTTCGAGACGGTGTGTGTACTTGTTACGTGAAAACCCGCTGGGACCCGGACGCCAGCACACACGGCTAGATTTCATGGCGGGCGGCCGCGCGGCCCGCGCCTAGGCCCTGGGGTCGGAGTCAGAATCGGGGTTGGGTGGCCGCGGAGGGCGCGGGCTTCGCTTGCGGGGGCGGTCAGGGAGGGGTCGGGGCGCTGCAGGGCGGGAGGGCGGGCCGGTTGCGGCCGGTAGGAGAGCTGGGGAGGCATTCGCCTTGCACGGTGGCGGTGGCAGCCGCGCGAGAGAGGGGCCGGCGGGGAGCTCGGAGGCGGTGGCCTCTGAGACAGGGCGATGGCGATGGCGGAAATGCGAGAGCGTGTGGGCAATGAGTCCCTCCCAGTGGCCAGGGTCCCCTCGAGCACGGTGTGTGAAGCTCTGTCTCTTGATGTATTCCTTAATCCTCTTCTCCCTCGTGCCCAAGGAAGGCTGTGGCTCCACCAAATGCGGGAACTGTCAACTCAACTGTCTCCACCACCGGCGCTCTACCTGTTTCAACAAGTTTTTGGTGAGCGTCTTCAGGTTGGCACGCGCTTCCTCGGCCGCGACGTCTGCAGTCGCACGAATCGCGTAGTGCGTCGTGCCACGTTTGACTTTGGGGCCACGATGTGCTTGCTGAGCGAGTCAATGGCTGCGCGCGCCAGAGTGGGGCTAAAGCCCATCCCTCGCTCCTCCACGAGCCTCCTCAGGTGGCCATCGGTCAGAGCGTACCGCTCCACCTCGCTCCGCACCTGCGCCTCGAGGCTCTGCTCGATTGAAGAGGCACCGGACGAGCTCCCCGCCGCCTTGGGGCTGGGGCTGCAGCTGGGGCTTCCACAGCTGTCGCCATTGTAGTCCCGCCCATGCCCGACGCTACTGCTCACTCTCCTGGATTCGCGCCTCGTCGGCAACGGGCTACCGCCGCGGGGGAGCGAAGACCGTCCTTCCGGCACTGGCGCACCCCAGCACTCAGCGGGGCAATCGCTCGCTCCCGATGCCGCTCATCGGCCGTCGTTAAGCCGTCCCACTCGTAGAAAGGAACACTGATCACCCTCCAACCAGCCGCCGCGAGGAGGCGCCGCTTGAGCACAGTCGTGCCGTTTGGCGCTCGCTCGCCGCAGCTGTCGGGCCGCAAGAAGTGAGACGGCCCATCGACCTCGACACCGCAATGCTAGATGAGGGCAACGCCAGGTCGAGCGAGTAGCCGGTGCGCGGCTCGAGATACTCCTCCTCGAAGCCGAGAAGGACAGCGGCGAGGGCAATCGCGACGGAGCGCTGCAACGCTGAGATTGTCACTTCCGTGTCTCGCATAGCTTCGCAGCAGAGCCGGCGCTCGGATTCGGAAAGAAGATGCTGCTGCCCGTCTGCCCCTCGTTCCAGGTGGAGCCAGAGCTGCCACTGATGCAGCTGACGGAGACTCTCGATCCTCGCTGGGTCTTGCGTAAGCGAGCCGCAGCGGATCACGTGCAAGGACGCGGCAAACGACAGCCTCGTCAACGAGCAGCGCTCCCCTCGCATCCTGCAGCCCCAGCCAATTCTTAGTGGTCCAAGTCACCTCATCGAGCTGGGCCCGCGTCAGCTTGTTCTGTAGCACGTCCGCCGCTTCCGGAGGATCTCACGGACCCCCTTCCCGAACCCGCCGAACGACTCGAACAGCAGCAGCTGCACGTCAACGTCCTTATCTTCCCTGGCGTAGCGATAGTCCCCGCCGTAGGACGGTATGCGACGGACACGGTCGCCGCCCACCACCCTGCCCCCCCTGGTATGCCAGCGCCCGGTCCCTTGCCCTCTCTCGCCCTTGGTGCTGCACTGGACGTCCATAGAAGGCGCGCGGCAGAGGCGGGAGTGAGGCGGGGAGAATCTAGCTCGCTCTGGCAGGGAGGCAAGGGTGTGATAGAGTGTTAGGGTGAGAACAGGCGGAGCGTGTGTGCCTGGACGCGATTGGGAGGGCACTTGTGACGAGGCATGGTTAGGCGAGTGGCAGTCGCTGGTGCGGACACGGTGCTGAGTCGTGTGAGGTGTGTGCTCCTTTTGCTTGCTAACACTCGAACATTTTTTTTATGTATCCGTGGTGACTGTCTCTAGCGTCGGAGGCAAGGCAGAAGAATATTTATTTTTGGAGCTAGAGAACCACTCCGCCGGACGAGATCAAATCACCGCTGTCAGACGACTCATCTGACGAGAGCTTCGCATGCCATGCGCGTCAGCGCGTGGGGCAGACACATAGCCTAAGGTACATGACACACGCGCACACCAACCCACAACAAACCCCAGCATGCCCCGACACATCGGACATTCATGCGCCAACTCTCCGAGCAGACCGAGTCCCGCCCCCCGGCGAGCCAGCCCTTTGCCGCGCAGCAGGAGTCAGCGGGAGCGGTACCCGCCTCGCAAGTCCACCGAGTAGCCGCCGTACCCGTGCTCGGCCTGCGGCGGCTCCCACCTATAGAAAAGAGAAAACCCCGCTTGGAAAAAGAAATACACGGTCCGGTCGGCCTGCGGCGGCTCCCACTGAGATACGCCCGTCAGCTCGTGGTAGTAGTACGTCTGGCCAGACGCCTCGTCGACCGCCGCACACCTACAGCCGAGATACAGCCGAGATACAGCCGAAGTGTGGGCCGAGATACAGCCTCTCGACCGCCCCGCACCAGCCGGCGGGCAGCGGCGCGTAGCCTCCACCTATAGAAGAGAGAAAGCACGCTGGCAAAACAGAAGACACACACGGCCGGCGGACAGCGGCGCGTGGCCTTGCTGAGCGCCAAGCGGTGCTGGCTGCGCCTCGTAGAGTGCCGCTGTGGCGTAGCCCTGGGGCTGCTCGTAGCCCGGCTGGTGCTGCTGCTGCTGGTGCTGCTGGTGCTGCTGGTGCTGCTGGTGCTGCTGGTGCTGCTGGTGCTGCTGGTGCTGCTGGTGCTGCTGCATCTGCTGCTGCCTGTGCTGCTGCCGCTGGTACCCCTGGTGGTGGTCGTGCTGCTGCTGCTGCTGCTGCTGCTGCTGCTGCTGCTGCTGGTCTGCGGCGCCTCCCTCCTTTCGCACGGTAAAGACCTCGCGCTCCGGGTCGCTCTGGTCGAGGCTGAGCTGCGCGCCTGCGAGATAGAGCCGAGATAGAGCCGAGATATGGCCGAGATGTAGCCGAGATATGGCCGAGATGTAGCCGAGATGCAGCCGAGATGCAGCCGAGATGCAGCCGAGATGCAGCCGAGATGCAGCCGAGATACGGCCGAGATGTTTCTGGCGGTGAAACAGAGCTGCCACATAAGGCCTCGGAGGTGTCTCGGAAGTGTCTCGGAGGTGTCTCGGAAGTGTCTCGGAGGTGTCTCGGAAGTGTCGTCGCGCCCTCGAACAGCGCCCGCTCCTCGCCAAAGTTTTCGCCGCGCAGCCACTGCCAAGGCGTCCCGGGCGCGGCCCGCCAGCCGGTGAGCGGCTTGCCCACCTAGAGAAAAAAGAAAAATGGCGTGGACGAATAAATGCCCTCCCTCGGGCGGTGTGTTTTCTTTCTTTCTGTCTTTGACCACCGACACCACCGCCGCGCCGCCGTGCTGGTCCGCCCGCACCACGCACTGCAGCCGCGAGACCGTCGCCTTTTGCGAGGCCGTGTCGTACCTGCGTCGAGATATAGCCGAGATCTAGCCGAGATATAGCCGAGATCTAGCCGAGATCTAGCCGAGATCTAGCCGAGATCTAGCCGAGATCTAGCTGAGACTGCGTGTCGTACCTGAATACACCGAGGTCAGGGGGGGGGAAGGGGAGGGGGAAGAGTACTCGTGGCACGCACGAATGCGAGGGATGCAGAAACAGTCATAACTGCGGGATGCAGCGGACTGCGTGTCCTCGCGAGCACTAGTCGGAATACAAGAACAGCGTTCCGCTTCTAGGTTCGCGTACCGGCCGAGCTTTTGCTGCCCTCCCGCTTCGACAAAGTACTGGCCGCCGGTGGGACCGGTCAGCGACCACACGATCTGCGCGTAACCCTGGTGCCCGCGCCCGTCCTCATAGCCCTGCTGCTGCAAGTAAGCCTGCTCGACGTAGCCGTATTGCGTCGAGCCGCTCACAATGGCCGCGCGCGGCACCGCAGCGCGGGGAGCGTGTGGCGGCGCGGACGGCCACGGTCCGACCAGGCAGGCGACGGGAAGGGCAGCGATCGCTGCGAGCCTCATGTGTGTGTGAGGCGCGCGAGAACGAAGATCAAAACCCAGGCGAAACGCAGGGTTCGAGATGCGGAGCAGGTAGGGTGCGTGTACCCGACCCCCCTACCATCGTCTAACGACGGAGAATGCACTCCGTGCCGGCGGCCCCGTCGGTGGCGGCGCTGATCGGATCGCGTCGCGCCGGCGGGGGTGGTGACCGAGCGGGCAATGGCTCCGCTGGCCGGCGCGGGGTCGCGCCAGCGGGGAACAGGTAAGTCAGGCGGCATCGACGATGAACGGTCACGAAACCCACTCCACCACACTGAAAGACCACCGGCCAGTTGACGACACACCCCCAGACGCCCGCCGATGAAGCCGGGAGGATGTATGGAGGAATGGTAAGGACCTCTCCGGATTGGTTGAGCCCCGGCATCGACGGCGGGAAGAGGGAGGATCCCCGCCCCTATCCCTCAGTTCAATCCCCGAGAGGAGAGGCAGAGCCTCTGGCGCGGTGAGACCACCCGTACGCTCTCAAGGCGAACCCCCCCCCCCTCTCCAGTTCAGATCACGACCCTCGACCCCCTCGGAGGGGGCACACAAAGACGCTGCCCCCTCATACCCCGCACCGCACATCACACACCCCTCGTGGCCGTTCTTCAGTCTGCGGCCAGGGCGCGCTGCACCGGGCCGACCTGCAGCCGTCGCTACGAGCGGCGGGGCTCAACGCGGGGCAGCGTGCCGACGACGTCGAATGCGCCGCCGTGGCATCGCGGCGCCGACGACCAGGCTCAGAGGATGACCCCGGGTAAGCGTTCCCGTGCCTCGACAATTGCCGCTGGTAGGCGCGCCGCGCCGAACCATGGCGGGCGCGCCGCGGCCGCGCGCAACCTTCGTCACAATGCCAACCGCGCGCGGCCGTCGACCGGCAAGCACACGCCTCGACTCGGGCACAGTGTTCCGAGGGCAAGGGTGAGGGGCTGGCTCCTAGCCCGAGAGGGGAGCTTCCGAGACCCACTACATGACCACGCACGCATCATCCCGCGGCCTCGCGGTCGGCGGGATTGCAACCAGTCTTCGCGTGCCGCCTGTCGTTCGATTCGGGCGCCTTGGGCGTCGGGGTGGCGAGCAGGGGACGCGGCTGAGCGCCCAGCGACGCGTGCCGGATGGAGTCCGGCCGCGGGCGACTAGGGAGTTCGCTCAGGATGTGTGGCAGCCGCACGTTGGCTGAGTGTCTTGTCTTGTGGTTCTGTGTGTCGCTCCTGTGTGACCGTCATCGCCCGTCTAGCGTCCACCCATACCGCGTTGGTGTCCCAGTCGTTGGTCGGACTGTGTTTCGCCTTCCCATCGATCAATCAATCAATCGTCTGGCTAACTGGGGCGCTTCTTAGCTCCCCGGTCCTGGGCGTGCGGCTGATGACTGCACTCCAAGTGCTCCAAGTGCCCTTGGTAGGTAGGTAGGTAGGTAGAAATAGACTTGATCGCAAGATCCCAGAAAGGCACCTCCGCCTCTGGACAGGGTGGCCCGCCCTAATCGACCCCTGTTAAGTGACTCGTTCGCTTTCCACCCACTGTGATACTGTCCCGTTTTGCTGTTCACAGCTAGGGACGGCCTCTGCGGCAAAGTCAACTCACCCCCACCACCACCTCCCACAGGCAAACCTTCGGCTCCCGCTCAGAGGCTCGCCGCGCCCGTGCGGCGCGCCGAGGCGGCGCCGAGGCCGGCGCCTTGCACCCGGCCCGCGGCCGGCACCGCCTCGCCCCACAGCTGACCGCCCTGCGGCCCCTGCGCAGGCGTGCCGCAGGCGTCGCTCAAAAAGCGACGCCGGGTGTGGGCTGCTCCCTTGACCCGTCACCCGCCGCGCCCTCGCCCGGCCGCCTCACCGCTCACGGAGCGTGCTCGCCGCCGCCGCCGCGCGTCCCGCGCCGCCACGCATGCCCCTTGCCCTGACGCGCGCTCTGTGCAGCGGCGCAGAGCGCGCGTCCCTGGCACAGACGGAGCAGCGACCGCGCCAGCGGTCGCTGCTCCGTCCCCCCGTCGCGCGCGCCGCGCGCGCGCCGCCGCCGCCGCCGCCGCCGCCGCCGCCGCCGCCGCCCCCTCCTCGCCGTCTTCCCCACCCTACCCTCTGTTGCGCGCGCGCGCCCCGCGCTGCGCGCCCCCGCCCCCACCCCCGCCCCCGCCCCCGCCCCCGCTCCCAAGCGCCCCTTCCCCGGTAGGTGTGCGTAGAAAGTAGAACCAATCGAGAGGTGGCAGAAGCCGCCGTGTGTGACACATATTGCGGCACGTGAGAGTGAGACAGAGCCCCGGCAGCGGCCAGCGGCCAGCGCCCGCGCGCAGCGGCCAGCGCAACAGGCGTTTCAAACAGCAAACGGGACGGCCTGCGCAGCCTCTAACTATTTTGTGTGAGCTCTGAGAGAGATTTTTAGCAATACCAAACAAATCTAACACTCACGCGTTGTTGTTTTGATGAGCTCTGTGTCTTGCGTTGCCAACATTCATGAATGGGGCGTTTAACGGACGTCTCTAGTATCTTCTAGGGGGCAGCCACAACCCAGAGGCCAGAAGCGAGCGAAAAAATAATTTTGAAAGAAAAAGTAGGCACGTGTATACCACCCGCCGCCGCGCCGCCCCGCCCTGCGCCGCCCGCTGCCTCGCCGCGCCGCCGCCTCGCGCCGCCCGCCGCCGCGCCTCGCCGCCGCCCGATGATTAATAATTAATAATTAATACTCGATCATTAATAATGTGTGTGTGTGTGCGTGTGTGTGTGTGTTTGTTTGCGCGATGGCAGGGAAGGGCAGGGCAGCCGCGAGCCGCAAGTGGCGTCGGCGACGCGGCGAGGACACGATGGTGACGCCCACAGCGCAGCGTGCGCGGCAGCAGTGCCGCCGGCGGCCCCACGCCGCCTTCGCGGACACACTGGATTGTCACTTGGAGCACTTGGAGCACTTGGAGCACTTGGAGTGCAGTCGGTAACCTCACATCCAGGGATCACCTTGGAGCACTTGGAGTGCAGTCATTAACCTCACATCCAGGGCCGGGGAGCTCAGAAGCGCACCCAGCGGGCCGGATGATCGGGATCGGGTTACGGGCTAGAGAGCCCTAGCCCCGGGGGTGCGCGTTCGCAGGGCAAGGGCCTTAAAGTAAACACGGGTCTCCGA